ATCATTGGAAAATGCAAATCACGGTCTATTATCGACACATCGTACTGTCGCGGACATGGAAATCCAGTCAATTGACCGGGGCCGGGGCCCTCAGCGCGTACAGAACGTTGCATGCAGTGCACATGTTGATCCAATGCGACCATCAGCAGCGCATGATAAACCGTGCTACGGCTACATGGCCAGCGCCCTGGGGCCGCTATACGTGCGACCGGATTCCCATGTCCACGACAGTAGTACCATGCAGCCTGGTAGTGCATTTGGAGCAGGAAAGTGAATGGTAGCACTGCGGTGGTGAACACATGAGCTGATGACAACCATCGTCGTCTTGTTGGTTTGTGTTGTCTCCAGTTCATTGCAGGTTGAACGAGGAATGAACGTCTACTCTTTCTTTCCAAAACTGGCTGGGCACACGCCAATGAGACGGAAGCTAGTGCCAAACCAGTCCTTGGAAGTTTTGTTGTGCTGCTGGACTTTCAATCATCATGTAAAGTATATTCCGGTTTCTGAGTCTTCGTGTGCGCCTGAAGAGCTACACTGTGTAGAGATGTTGGAAGTTTATCCTGCTCACGACACTGCACCAAGTACAAGCACTTCCTCGGCACTGCCTGAGCCCTGTTCTGTGTTTACTGTGACCAGGAGAAGCAACTAGAAATTTGGAGCTTGAGCTGGAACGCTGGTGCTCTCTCTCTCTCTCTCTCTCTCTCTCTCTCTCTCTCTCTCTCTCTCTCTCTCTCTCTCTCTCTCTCTCTCTCTCTCTCTCTCTCTCTCTCCGTCACGTTCTGCCACTGTCCGAAACCGGTGCATGTGCTAGCATGTCGAAGCGCATTGTGTCTGAGTCACGCACTCACTCTCCTGCTCCTCCCTCACATGCCCAAGACAGTATGACCAACTGTGAATACAGTTCATGCCCACATGTGAACTTGTGTGGTTCTCTTGTAGTAAGCTGCCACGTGTGTACTTGCACGTGTTGTGTACATGTGTGTGTGTGTGTGTGGGTGTGTGTGTGTATCTATGGGACTGCGTTCTCCTATTCTCTCTCCGGTGCCTTCGAGGCCCACGCAACCCTTGTGGCAGTGGCTCGACAGCACAGGGGTGTGCGCGCGTGCATGTGTATATGTGTGTGTGTGTGTGTGTGTGTGTGTGTGTGTGTGTGTGTGTGTGCGCGCGCGTGTGCATGCACATGTGTGGGTGTGCGCGCGTGCATGCAGATGTGTGTGTGGGGGTGTGCGCACGCTGATGCTCAGCTCTCCAGAATTATGTCCGTGTGCGTAGCCAGTGTATGGTGGCAACATAGCCTTCCTTCATGTATAATATTATGTGTATGCGCATACTATTTGGGATGCTTTACTGTTTTTGGTGGGATCCAGTTACATAGTTTTCAGTTCAAATTATTTATGTTTATACAGCTGCTGTATTTGTAGTGCAACTTTATGTTTTCTGCTGGTCAATTTGTCGTCTTGATGGTGTTCTAATACTGATATACATAGAAAATATTACCCTCAGAAAGTGTGCTCGTTGTGAAGTTGTCCTTCTTTGGGCTCAAACCATTGCTCGTGTATAGGTAGATACATATCAGTGGGTTCGATTGGTGGCGAGAGGTCAGCCTAAATTGTTTGGGGCGGAATTCGGCACGAAATCCACGCTGAGTACTTTTTGACGACGAGTTGCGTCGGTCTTGAAAACTCTAGCGAGAAAGCGAGGAAAATGATGTCGCTTGGAGCTTTCCGCGAAACTGAGGGCAGCTAATGCCCGCACCTTCCCAAACATTGCCTCAGAACAAGACGATACCACCAGGGAAGCTCTTGTGAGCAAGGGATAAAATAGTCTCTTTTTGGCGATATTGAGCTGAGTTTCAAATTTCCCGGGCCTGGGGTCGGATTTGGAAAATAAAAGTGCAACTTTTAGGGCTCTTTTTCGGTGCTGGCGCTTCGCCTGGTACCTCACTGCCTTGTGAAGTAGTTTTGGTACCAACACAAAAAATCAAAAAAACGCGCCAAGTTTCGGTTGTCGGAGCCGGAGGTAGTACAATATTTGAAACCCCCAGTGTGGGAGCACCCTGTTGCTGAGATTGCTTTACTTGCCTGAGATGGTTGGATACCGGGAAGAGTAGAAAGTGAACTACGAATACATATAGAGTGTACAGGTTGCCAGTCGGCAATGGCTGCGTCTAGTCAGCAAAACTCTAGTTCGAAGTTTGCTCGTGTCCTTGCAATCATCACGCCCATATTGATGCTTAGTCGGAGCTGTGTTCACGTGGATGCGGAGAGCAGGGGCAGCAGCCATGCTGATATAGCTGTCGAGGATCGAGAACGTATCAACAAGATGACGGATGAGTATGAAGTAGCGCATATCGACATGACACAACACCTTAGTGATGTTGAGCATGCCAGCAATCGTGGCAAGAGAGATGCCACAGCACAAGGACAACATGATGATCAGTCTAGCAGTGAGCATGTACATGTTGGACTCAGTAGAGCGTCCAGCCCCTATATGATGTCCAACCCCTATATAGAGTCCATTGGTCCAAAATCCACTGTACAGAGTCCAAACTTGGAATCAACTGTGCGCTCAAAAGTTTCGATGGACATCACTCCCTGTATAGAGTCCAGCCAATTGGCTTCACCCCTATATAGAGTCCATTGGTCCCAAATCAACTGTACGGAGTCCAAACTTTGAAATCAACTGTAAAGAGTCTTTATGTGGACAACACTCTCTGTATAAAGTCCAGCCAATTAGGCATCCCCTATCGAGTTCGAAATTAGACATAGGATCTGCTGTAAGCAGTGAATATTACCCAAAAAACGGCCTCTCCCTTGAATCCTTCACATCATTCACTTCTCAAGATAAAAAATATGTATTGAGGCGCCACTGCAGCCACTTCATTACATGAAAAACCCTACAAACACCATCCCGAAATCAAGTGGTCTCTTCGCCGACGCTGCAAATTACAATATCTCAATCATGTAGTGTTGCCAAAATTGTGCACGCACACACACATGCACACACCCACACAACGCCAAGAAAATACCTAGAAAAAACCAAGAATCGAAAGAGAATAATGGAGAGCCCAGGATTAATTATTTGTTTTCAAATTATTGTGCGCGTGCGCGCGCACACACACACACACAAACTTATACAACGCCAAGAAAACACCAAGAAAAGAGTAAAGACACAATACACACGCAACTCCAACAGCCATGGAAACGTCCACCCATTTACATGTAAAGTCAAGAGGGATAACAAAATAATAATTATACGAAACGAATGCATACGGGGACGGGTACACGCACGTTTACATACACGTAGTCACGAGTGTAAGAGAGTAACATAGTGCAGTGGTCAGCATAATACTAGCACATGCTGAGAGTGCAATAGCAAGCTTCACCATTGCTCATGGCCATGCAAATGTTCAGCAGCACTCAGTTCCGCAAGCTTCTGAAGATCAGCACACCTGCAACAAATAGATAGCACAAGGATATGCTTATTACCGTAATGATGCATGGGAGCACACAACTACCAAGTTCTCAACGAATGTGATGCTCAATGAAAATCAATCCACTCAAAGACCTGTGAACAGGTGACGGTGGGGACAATAATCTATTAGTAATACGAGGAATAAGATCGTTTGTGCACACTCAAGACGCACAGACACACCTACATGTAGTGTACACAGTGTTTCACTTCACTGCAACTAAATTGAAATGAGATGATTTGAACAATCTGTATAGCGTTGCTGTCAGTCAGTCTTCCCCAAGATGGAAATGCAATGATTTGTTGTCACGAGGCAGTTTCACTGACACAATGTCAAGTTCGTGACATCAAAACGGTTACTTCAGGGAATACGAGTATTGAGAAGCTTTTTCTTGTCATTGGCATACAAGCAATCCTCCTAGTCCTACTACTACTAGTACACTGGCACTGCGTTTGTGGATCCCATTGTATTTGACATCATACTACAGGAAGAGTGTCGTGGAGTTCACATAATTATCACAGGGATAAAAATACATTTCTCATGAAATAAAGCTAGACAATCATAATTATTATACGATTGATGCAAAGTCCTTGCAGTCCTTGAGGACTATTACAAAAGTGGTTGATTACTTTTAGGGCATTCATTCAAGCAACATCAAACAAACGCGATACGCTCCTTGAAAATGGAAAAAAATTCAAGCATAACGACAGAACAGAAGACAAATCGAAACGAGTAAAAGCTTCCTTACCTCAGTCATCGTCCTGCCATGTAGTTGGACAGCCTTTTGACACGGTGGTACAGGCAGCTCTTGTCCAGTCAAACAGGGGTATCATTGTGGCGTCGAACGAAAGAGAGTGTCAGTGTATCTGACTCGTCAGATTGCAATTGTGATGAACTTTTCTCTTTCTCCGCTTTCTGCTTTCATCCCTCGCTCTGATGAAACCGTTCAAACGTCTTACTGGCAGCAATGGCCAGCCAAACAGGGGATCCTTGTGGCGTCGAACGAAAGAGAGCGTCAGTGAACCTGACTCGTCAGATTTGAACTGTGCTGAACTTTTCTCGTTCTGCAATTTCTGCTTTCATCCCGCGCACTGATGAAACGTCTTCAGAGAACCACAAGACGCTTTCCAGATTTGATTTTGAACGTCTCCTTATCCTCCTTGGTTACCTCGAGACAGATTACTGTCAGCAACTGCACAGCAGAATTGGCAGCCATGGCTGAAGTGAAGAAAGGAATGCGCTGCCACGAGGCAAGCAAAACTGAAAATGACTTGTGTTTGTTCTCTTTCGGGCACAACACACAGGACGGCGTGACTGGATAAACTGGACTCCTGGACTGTGAATAGGGGACTTGTAGAAAAAGTGTACTCCTTATAGGGGATTGCGCGGCAGGATGAAGCTGATCAAAACTGAGTGGACTCCTGGACTCTGTATAGTGGATTTTGGACCAATGGACTCTATATAGGGTGCTGGACATCATATAGTGCATGGACTCTATACTGAGTCCTACATACATGTACACCATCCGCCAACCAGTAGCTTCCAAATACGGGCATTTGGAAAGACAGTGACATTAGATCTGAAGCAGAACACTGAGCTGATTCCTGCTTCGTTTAAAGTCTTCACATTCAATTCAATCGATGAGAGTCCTGTGATTACTCGTGGAGCAGTCAACTGTTATTACCATGGGACAGTGCGTGGCTTGCAGGACGTCAGTCATGCTCAGTCCACCCTTCACAAACACAGGAAACGGCAGCAAAGTAGTACTGATGCCAGTGAAGAGAGCAGCGCCGCTGTGATATCTACATACGCCGCTGTGAGCACATGCAATGGTTTGAGTGGATCATTTGGTTTTGAACAGTATGCTCGCAATGGAGATGAGGATCCAGCCCCAGCTAGCAGCAGCAACAGCAGTAGCAATGAGCAAGGTAAAGCGTACTCTGAAAGATATATGATTGAACCACTGTTCAGCCAGACATCTAAACCTGGTACGTATCCACACGCCATCTTCAAAGAATCCACATACAAGATGAGCAAAGAAGATCCGTTGAAAGGAGGATGTGCGACACACTGGAATATATCGGCTACAAAGAACACCAGCAGAGGAACTGCAGGTGAGAAGCAGCGGTGGGATTTTCCTGTTGACGGGTTGGCTGGTTTAGCTTCAGCAGCACGCAAACGTGTGAAGAGGAGTAGCAGTACAGGAGGAGGACGAGATCCAACATTGTATGTGGAACTTGCTGTGGCTTCTGATTACTCATATACTAAAGCAAATGGTGGTCTTAGTCAAGATGGCTCCAAAAACCTTGTTGCATCAACGCTGAAGCTTGTAAACCAGGTCGATGGTCTTTTCCAGGAGCTTAATGTCCGTATTGTCCTTGTAACTATCTTCATATTTACTCAGTCACCTGGTCCTTTGAATTTGGATGGAGATACAGGGACTAACAATTTCCTTAAAGTGCATGAATTTTCAGCACAACACCTCCAGCCAATTGTTCACTATGACATGATTCATTTTTTCAGCGCTCAGCAGCTGACATCTCCTGGAATTGCCCAGCAACCTTCTCCCGGTTATATTTGCCCAGGAGTGCACAACGGCTACGACCTTGTTGGTTTGGAAGGAGTGGGAAAGGGTGCTATAAACCAATACTTGCTTACGCACGAAATTGGCCACAATTTGGGATTTCAACATGTTTTGCTGCCGTGCGCTTGTAACAAGCCTGGCTGTAGAACTAGCATTATGTCTCCAGGTTCCGGTACAGCATGGTCAAACTGTACAATCGCTTGGTTTAACCAACAGCGATCAGATCCAAGCAGGAAGTGTTTTCTGAACAAGCCCGCACCAGCGCTCTCCAAAGTGGTGTGTGGAAATGGCATTGTGGAGCCAGGCGAAGACTGCGATTGTGGCCTGCGCCAGTACTGCAAGGATGCCTGCTGCAACGCGACAACATGCCGTTACACACCCGGTTCCCAGTGTAGTCTAGGTGAATGCTGTAGTAACTGTACTATTCTGCCAGCTGGCACACTCTGCAGGCCGGCCAAAGACCAATGCGACCTGCCAGACTACTGTGATGGAAGACAAGAAAGGTGTTCAGCAGATGATTTCACACAGTCCGGGCTATACTGTGAGGCAGCAGGTCAGCCTGGCACTTGCCAGCAGGGCTCGTGCACGAACATTGATGCGCAATGCCAGAAAACGTTCTTCTCTAGAGCTGTTCTCTCCGCAAGCTGCTTCGCCAGGTTCAATGTACATGGCTTGGGCGGTCACAACTGTGGTTTCAATAGCAGAAAGGAACCTATTCCTTGCAAGCCAGAGAATGCTTGGTGTGGTACTCTCGTGTGCGGCATTGAAAAAAGGTGCTTGACAAAGCGACCTGGTGAAGGTGGGGCTCGCACGTTGTACGTGGATAATGGCAGCCCGTGTGGCATTGGTTTAGCCTGCTGGAACAAGGAATGTGTGAACACCTCCATACTGCAGTCTGGTGCCTGGAGGTGTCCTCAAGCTAATGGACTCGGCTGCTCTGGTAATGGCGTATGCACACACAAGAACGTGTGTCGCTGTGAAATTGGCTGGCAAGGCACTAACTGCAATCGTCAAGCCGGTACACTAGACGCAGGCCTATCAGGTGGCTGGAGGTGTCCTCAAGCTAATGGACTCGGCTGCTCTGGTAATGGCGTATGCACACACAAGAACGTGTGTCGCTGTGAAATTGGCTGGCAAGGCACTAACTGCAATCGTCAAGCCGGTACACTAGACGCAGGCCTATCAGGTGGCTGGAGGTGTCCTCAAGCTAATGGACTCGGCTGCTCTGGTAATGGCGTATGCACACACAAGAACGTGTGTCGCTGTGAAATTGGCTGGCAAGGCACTAACTGCAATCGTCAAGCCGGTACACTAGACGCAGGCCTATCAGGTGGCAGTATTGCTGGACTTGTTATCGGTCTGATACTCGCATCACTGTTGTGTGCCGCCTTTATTGCACTTTATCTCAAGCGGAAGCGAAATGTGGCCATCGCTCGAGCAATACCACGACCTTCACACCACCGTCATCTACGCGTTGCCTCCGAAGAGAGAACCAGAGATCAACCAGGCGCTACAGACGGTCATGGTGAAGAGCGCATGGGGAAATCAGTGACCTCTGCAGATCCGGGTATACCTGACTCTGGGCCAAACATCATCGGCCAGGCACCTGGTCGACCAAGTCAACCACCAACCAGGCCTGCTCGGCCATCTGCACCCGCTGCATATACAAATGACTATGCAAGTTAGCCCATCTACACCCCCTGCATATACAAATGACTATGCAAGTTAGCCCATCTACACCCCCTGCACATTTTAAAGTACAAACACATGTGAAGGTTTTGTAACAAACTCTCACCTTTTTCTTCTCTGACCTCCTTAAGGCCTTCATGCATTATCCCCTGTACACTTTACACCTGGATTAATTTTTACTCGGTTTTAACAATCCGTGACACAGATATTCTTTAGGTGTTTTGAAATCACTTTTTTGTGCCAGTCGGTCCCGTGATTATGTGGTACCAGGTATGCGCATTATGATTAGGCCTAATTATGATGCAGTAACGTTAGCGAATTGGTGTCACGTATAGGGGTGAACGTTGACACTGAAATCCCGAGTTCGAGTACTCTGATTTTCTCCGATCGAATATTCGAGTATTCGAGTATTCTTCATCTCCTAAACAGTGCACACCAAGGGCCTTAAGATCACATTATACAACCTTGGTTGAATCGATTGATGATCTCTTTTTTCAGGTATACTGGTTGGTGGGTCATTTGGGCTCTCTCTATTCATGAACAAAGGCTCACCACACAGTCTGCACATCAATATCTACTGACTGCTGCTCCGAAACTGTAGATTTCTGTGGCAAATGCATGTACCATGGATGAACGAGTACTCTGATTTATTTCGAGTACGATTATTCTTGGAAAAAAACGAGCGAGTACTCGAATATTCGGTATAATTGTTTCACCTACAAGTAGGTCTATATTAATGCTATCCTCTTTTGCTGATGCACGCCATACTTGCAAGAATAGCAATGTCACGTACCGCAAAAGAATCGATATATCAGTATACTAACTATACTTGTGTGCAATGTACTTGTAGTAAACCAGTATACCACTATACCAGTATACAGTGTTGGAGTTGGAGAAGTGAAGTGTTCTGTATTATTCTAAAATGTAGCAATATAAAGCAGAATTAAAGCGGACATTGAGCATACATGTAGCGATGAAACGTGATAATCTAGTATCGCTAGGTTCAATAAGAAAGTTGTGGAGGAAAAGGAGGTTTGTCAACTGACAACCGCTCTATTCAGTTGCTATTCACAATCTGCGTTTGCGCTGGATTAAAAATTCTTCATTGTGATGTCGGTATTTAGAAAAGCGATCCTGTCAGCTTTTCTATTATTGTGTTCACATGGCAAGAAAAACGACACCGCTATGCTACGTAAGTTTCTACGTAAGGTGCTCGGTATTTCACTTAGGCTACGGAAGTCTCTACGTAAGGTGCTCGGTATTAGATCTACCAACGCGTGGTAGCCGCGTGCTGTGCACGTGCACGGCAGACATTGTGTTGCATGCAGTGCATGCAGTCTATAGTCCGCGGATCCGTGTTCGGATATGTGCATGCACGAGGAACTTCCTTCTTTGGAACTGCTTCTTGCATGAGGTGTTTCGGATATTTCGTCTCCTGGCCTGTATAACCGTTAAACCGACCGTTAGCTTAGCAGTTAACCGTTCGGGGTAAAACCGTGACCGTTTGAGCCCTAGAAAAGAATGATCTTTATTCGTACTGCACAGGGTTACATGTACATATTATGATGTTATATAGGCGATTCACACGACAGGCAAATCCACGTTTGTCAGGTGCCCGCATGAAGTGAAACGTGAGGCTGCAGTTCACACGGCCGCGGGCGGCGGCCAGAGCTCCCGCGAGTATCCGGTGAGTATACGGCGTTACTGTGGGAAGGCCTCTTTTACGGGCAAAGCAAAGCACAATCATCACCATGTATCAGTACAGTGAGTAGTTAAACCCAACACGAATGAAAAATGAGAAATGGAATAAAACAATATTTGTAAAAAAATATAAAAAATAAAAATTCAATATCGAACACGAATAAAATAAAATAAAAATATAAAAATATTTGAAACTCGGATGTTGAGCCATAAATAAATGTAGAAGAGAAAAGGACATATGGATACGATACGAGTTAAGAGTTAAGCTTTGTCAAATATCGTACTGGTCTCGTCATCGTCCAGTAACAATCGACATTCTTTGTTCCGTTGGGACTGTAGCTTTTGCTCGTTTTCGTTGCGCTTGCCTTCCCCTCTTTGGTCTTTCCATAACCTTGAACCTTCCAAGTTGGAAGGCTGTCGGTTAGCGCTACGGAGATGTGTTGAAGCTAGGTGTCAGGACGTCGAATGTTTCAGTACTCTGTCAGTTTTGTGCCTAGTTATTGCACTTTCTGACTGTATATAGTATCATGTTACAGTGATGGAGAGTTACTCTTAACTCGTATCCATATGTCCTTTTCTCTTCTACATATATAAAAATATGTAAATAATAAAAAATAAACAATATCGAACACGGAATTAATTCCGGAACTATCTACTCAACCAATTCATAATGCAATACCCGCACACTGTGTCAGTGATGGAACTCCGCTACCCGATCAACATGCAGAGACCACTCAATCACATGCTTAGAAGCCGCTCTCCACAATGGCCAACTCCCTCATCACATTAACTGGACGATGGTAGGCCGAACGTGCACCGCGAATGCACATTATGGCTGCCCTGAGCAAAGCGAAGGACAAGCGACACCGCACATAGGCCATTAGCTGGGCATACGGTTGATCGGCAGTTGCCAGCAATGCACACAACCGCTTAATGAATGCAGTACACTCCGGAGCACAACAACCCGCCGTGGTAAAGACTAGCGGGGTAAATGAACCACGGTCGACATTGTTGATACGCTCGGCATACTCACTCTTCTTGCGGCGCTCATGTTGCTTCAGAAGATCACTGACGGGCTTGCTCTTGTATGATGCTGCATCCGGGTGGAAGACCCGGATATCGAAGAACGCATTCTGAGCCCGGGTCCAGAACCCACGAGCTCGGACATCAGCGCGGGCGTCGTTCGCGGTGTTTGTTGTTGCCGATAAAAACACCTCGCCTGTGATCGGAGCAAGTACAGGCTCGACTGCCACATCTGAGCATACCTCCGTCAGAAGATCCGCCACGATATCTCTTACTTCATTGTGGCGAATTGTCGGGAAACCTCCGCGGGGGCAAATCATCGCATGGCGTGGCGTCGAACGGCTCCCCACACACACAGCTCGCTGGTGTGTCCAAGAGAGACCAACCATGGCGGAGAGCTAGAGCGGCGTTACTGTGGTGATTTGGAAGGAGTACTCAAAGACAAAGGCCAAACAACCAGGGTTCAAGACTACCGTACGATAGTACAACCTCACAGTCTCATAACTGTAAAAGTGCCCGCAGATGAGTGCATCCGCGGGCAAAAAGGCCATGGACACTTTTGATTCCCGCGGGCAAATTTTGGTCACCCGCAGGAATATCTCCATGGTGACTTTCCTGTAAACGTGGATTTGCCCGTGTGTCGTGTGAATCGCCTATAGGTGGCGGCAAGAGTACATGAAAACCTTTTCATGTACTCTTGGTTGCGGGATGGTAGGTGATAGGCCGAAGGGCCGTGGTAGAGGGGATAGGAGTGTGAACAGCAGGTAACACTATTACCATGGTTACAGCTTCGAGCAGCAGGTTGAGCGTGTGTGCGCAAAGGCACAGTGCAAGGTTGCCTCATTCCGCCACGGGCGCCGCGATGTCTCCATGACCGGCCGCCGCATGTTTTACCTGACAATTGTCCAGAGTACCTTGGACTATGCCAGCACATGTTATGTTCACTGCTTGTCCGCTAAACTCAGAGACAAACTTGAGTCAACCAGCAATAGGTGCCTAAGGCGAGTGTTTGGCCATGATCAGTATACAGGTCTGCTCTCGATATACAGTCAAATCTGTTGTAAGCGACCGCCCCTTGGTGCAAGAAAAAGCGGTCGCTTACGGCAGATGGTCTCTTACGGCAGATGTATGGTAAATCCGGCATACCAGGTATATGCTTCCATGTACTCAAATCGACGAGAATAATGTGATTTTTAATATCATTTTATTGGATATTCAACGACGACCATACCCGTATTACGCGTATGCGACACGGCAGTAGATCGACACTGCCTAGCGCCTGGACTTGAGAGCTACAGCACAGCCTCAGTACGAGGTTATTCGTCATTATTTAACACGAAAGTAAAATAGCCTTCCGTAGGGTTCGAGGTGCGAACCTTTCAATTTCTTCCCCTAAAAATGTAATACTGGTATCCTTAGATTGCAATGGTGGGTTGTTCATTCACATAATCCTTGGTGTTGGGAAGCAGGGGGCAGTTGAAAAATGGCAATTTTTCTGCATATTATTTGTTGTGGTCATTTCTTAACATCATGGTAAAATAGGCCTTAGCACCACAATTTCAAGTCAGTTTTCAATAGAAAGAGACCCTACATGTCCAGGATGGTCCAGAAAGACTGGATCAAGATCATGTTCATCCAAATACAAGCCATTCAAGCTTGCATAGCAATAGATGTATCACCCTGATTTCATATGCAATTGTGATCAACATCTGTGAGTAAATTCAGTAATTGCCAATATTTGGCCAATACCAGGGCCAACACACCGACATTTCTCCTTCCCAGGCGTCGTTTCCAGTATGTAGCTATCATATGCTTCCTCTTCAGCTAAATGTGTTGTCACTGGAGGTTGAAACCAGCGGCTATGACTCTCTTATACTCTATTTTACCGTAAACATCGCGCACATGCAGACTGAAAGCTCTTGCAATGTCACTTCCTGAAGGAATATCAGTCTCAATTTTGGAGGCGAACTTGACAGAACATTGGCAATGGCCATGGCAAAAATAAATTTGACATGACTTTTTGCATGCGCTGGCAATGAGATATTTTACCGATTTGTTAAGAAATGACTCAATGTTAAAAAATTACGAATCACCTCGTACAGCCTACAGGCCAGGCGCCAGTCGATCGCACTTGCAAGACAGCGCATTTTCACACTTTGCAGTTTACAGCGCACTGGCAAGTACAGTTTCGCACCTGAACCTGGGTCGCGGTCGCTTACAGCAGATTTGAATGCAGCCACCGTGCATGAAATCGCGGTCGCTGGTCGCGCACAGCAGATGGTCGCTCTGGACAGATCAGTTTGTATGTGAAACCGTCGGTGCACGGAAAATCGGTCGCTAACGGTAGATGGTCGCCTACAGCAGAGGTCACATTATTCTCGTCGATTTGAGTACATGGAAGCATATACCTGGTATGCCGGATTTACCATACATCTGCCGTAAGAGACCATCTGCCGTAAGCGACCGCTTTTTCTTGCACCAAGGGGCAGTCGCTTACGACAGATTTACGCTTACAACAGATTTGACTGTACTACAACAGGTCTCTGATGCAGAGCTGCAAGTGACGGATATCGAACATTTGCAGCCACTAGAGCCTCCTGGTCGTTGAAAAAAGCTCGAAACTACAATGTAACTTCGAAAACTTGGACGCGAAGTTGCAGTGATTTGCGAAAGTTAGGGTGCGTTCTTAAATCCTCTCGGAAAAGTTTGAGACTCTCCGAAAAGTTCGAGAGCTGTTCTTATATCCTCTCCGACTTTTAGGAGGCTCTCCAAAGCTCTCCAAGCTCTCCAAGCTTCAGAGGTGGTTGAAACTTGGAGATTCCCGCGGTTTGGGATCAGCGCATGCGAACTACGACTAAA